AACTCTTCAGGGAGGGCATGTGGAACCATAGGAGCACGGAATGACGGCGATCTAAATTACAGAACAGTGTCCGGCCACTTACCGATGCGTGTGTATTGCCTTAAGAACTGCGTTTCAGCATAGCCCATGAGCGAGTCGCCTTTAGGGCGCTCACCTTGAATTATCTTCCATTCTTCATAATATGTTCTAACACGGAATCTGGACCCAAGAGTCGTGATGACGCTCACCGAAAAATTGGAATATATCATACTTATGTCTAATACTAGGAACGTTCGTCTTTTCCACCTCGTTCTTGGATCGGTCCAGTGACCCGACCCAATGGATCTTATCGTTGTCGGGGAATCTGAGTATCGAGTTCCGCTCACACCGGACAATGCCTGGAGAAGTCGCTCACCCAGACATCAAAACCGAGTTTCTCGCGATTTCACACATGTCAACTGAGTTCAGCCTCCACACCTGAAAATGCCTTAAAATTCATACAACACGGACGATTCTGCTGCTCACCTGCTTAGCAATGCTGTACTCCTCGACCAGTGGCTCTCTGGTCTGGTGAAACATAAGCGGATCATCGCTAGAGAGACTAACATTGAGCCCTCTCGCGAAGAACGCCGGGAAGGGGTTCTTATTGTATGACAGGAATAACTGATTGTTCGAACACGGCGAAACCGCGATTCCTAACAATTCAGCATAGAGCATCAACGACAAAGGTGAGGACCTACCGATCTGAGCCAGATAGAAGAGATACTGCAGAACAGGGCTCTTCCTGAGATTGATGCCATGGGAGATGTTACTAGCAAGCAAGAAGGCCGTGTCCAAGTGATGTATTTCGCCAGCTTCACCGCAGTGCGGCCTGAGTGCACCACTTCATGTCAACTATTTGTACATCAAGAATATTCATTGTGAATACACCCGTAAACATACCCACCTGAAATCAAAAGGCCGCAGCCCTCGGTGTTCCCTCAACATGTTGAGCACTCTGATATTCGCGTAGATGTAGTAACTAAAACTCAGAATCACCAATCATCGCGTTTCCATCACAGTTACTACTTACCTGTAGTATTTGTAACTTGGATTGTCCACAAGATCCCACATATCAGGAGTGAGCTGACGGCTCGAGAAGTTGCGGTCATTTGGCATCGGTGATTTCGATTCATCGTCAACAGTATCAAAGCCCGATACCTGCAACCAGTGTTAGAATATGTGTTCGCTTCCCCAGGCTGAGCCTGGGAGTCTCCTCACTAAGTGCAAGGGTTTGTGTACAAACTCGGATAAGACCGTACAGAAACCAATGAGAATTTCCTCAGAATTTTCACTTTTGTTACAAACACATAGTTTACCACATGCATATTTCCCACTCTGCCTGAGACCGCCATACGAGACGAACCCCATGCAAACGACTTAGCTACTTGGTCCATGAACTTGTAGACTTCCGGATGCCCCTGGGGATCAAACGTGGCCGCAAAGAGCGGCTCGAATATGTTAGACAGAAATTCTTGGAAATTTTGAATCTGAAAGCACAACGGTGAAAGTTGATACCAATGGAACTCACTTCTCCATTTTTCTTGTATATTGAATACAGTCGTGGGATCTGGATCATCCATCGGTTGTTCTCGTGAATCAAACCGTGATTAAGGACCCACTGAAGCGCAAAGAGCAACCCTCTTATAATATCATCAAAATGCACTAAGAAGGCCAGGAAGTGACAAAATCTGCAGTGTGTTCGATTTAGTCCAAAACGAAAAAAATGTTGTTATGATACTACATATTGATTTTTTCTCTTATGCTCAAAACTTGTGATTTCAAAGCTTCAGATAATTGTCGAATCAACGAAATTACATTCCCGTGAAAATCGCCAGGGCGTCATTGTTAAAACTCGTGTTGTAATGTCAAAATCGAACACACTGTAGTGTACACTCTTTCCATGTTCTCATAGGGTTTCCAAGCTGAGTCTCATGATGAGCTCAACAGAATCGCCACAATGTTTCCTACACGTGAGAGCTTGAGCCACTCGTCCTTCGAACGGCCGTATATCGACAGACGCCATTCCGTATTCTGATATTTATTGTCCTTCAGATCATCCAAGAGCTCCTTGGTGAGTTCGGCTAGATAACTACAACACGGCGTGATACACATATCACTGCAGGAGGACTCACCGGCCACCCATGAAGTTGTCAGTTTTCAAGAAGATCGTACGTAACATGGGCTCGCCGAGCGGTGAATACTTCGCATTGAAACGATCAAATCTGAGGTATACATGAGTGTCATGAGATGAGATGCACCGCGCTACCTATACAGAGTGCTCTTGTCTGCAAGCACGTTTAGCTTGTCCAATGACAAGTCGTGAGGTTTCACTCCAAGTTGATCGAATACCTGGGCAAAGTCGAAGGGGATTCCAAAGCATTTGAATTTACCTGGCCGAGCGTTTTGCCTGGCAGGACTTCATCATCAGCATGATTGGCCACTTTACGTTTGATGAATCGTAACAGGTGCTTTGCTGAAAAGAAGAGACTGAAGAACTTATATTCTATGTTTGATAGACCATAGTCTGTTGGTCCTCAGAGCCTATCTTGTTGCAGCATACAGAGATCCGGAATAGCATAGATGTGAGTATTATTACCATTCATAGCAGCCGAGTGATGAATATGCGTGTCGACCTTTCTGACGTTATAGAAATCACGATGGGGGATCGCTCCGCATTGAACGTTCTCCTATATAATAGAGCAGCACTTCCAAGAACGCGAGCTGGAAGTCCCCTGTACGGGCGTTAACTTAGTGCGACGACTACTACTACTACTACTGATACGACACTAAGCCTCGACTGTGTTCAAGGATTAGGAACTGGGGAGAGCTCTGAATGTGATCGAGCTCCACTATGGTAACTATCATTGTCTATTGCAGAATGATGAGCTCCCAGGCGTCGGATACAATTCGCGATCCGGACGATCTCAAGCCGAGTAATCAGTGACCTACCTGTTCAGAGCATGTCATGCCATAGAGCTCGAATTTGGTTTCCAACATTCTCAGCCGCAAAAATGCAAAGCTAGCAGTCGGACCAGACGTACGTATCCTAAGATCACGCAACACTTTCTAATACTTACCCGCATGTGCTAACCTGAATAGTGTATTCATATCATCATAATAGTCCATTAAACTTGGTATATCAAATGTCGTGTCCGCCTGAGACGGGTTAACTGTGTCACTGTGAATGCGATATACTCCCTCTTCAAGGGTGAAGAAACCAGGGACTTTATCTGCCATTCAACAACAGAAGTTAGCTTCGTAAAGCAGGTAGAATGTATGAAGCGTCGCAAAATTCGACGACTTGCAATATCATTTAAGCAGTTAGTGCGAGAAAAAATGAATACAATCAACTACATGCGTTGGTGACAATATGAAAATTCTAAGGAAATTTTTCGGAGATTTCTTATCGGTTTTTATGCACTCTTATTAAAATTCGTGTGTAAATTCCTGTAATTAGTGAAGAAACCCCTGAATAAGTGCGCATACATCACAACGTTGCGTCAGCATTTAGTATAACACCAGCTGAGTCTATAGAGGCTCAACTCGAAAGCAATGAGCTCGGGAGTCTTAGAAGGCAGTACAAACATAATCTTACTATTGGGCGAAATGTAACGAATGTTGGGCGACAATTCGATCGACCGACGACTTCCCCGAGAATAATCGTGTATCTGATAGAACATATCGTATCAGGGAAACATCCAGGAACCTATAATGTTCCCGGGAGGAACTCATTTTGAATTTTCCACGTATGGCTAGGAACACATTCTTCAATCAGTTTCCCATGTAAATGTGATCACACTAGGAACATTTCCACCATAGTCAGTTCCACTTGAGAACGTTATTTCTCAAAGCCGGATGGTCCTGCATCGTATTCCAGCAAGTTCGGTCAAAGGTTAATTACATCAACTCCGATATACTTCTCTCTCAGTGCAAGAGCTTCCTGAAGATCGACATAAACGCCATCCAGCTGAGTTTCAGCACCCGAAGACATAATGGGAGCTCAGGAAGTCAAATAAGGCAACTGAACGGCTGGACGAAGCGGCATCTGTAGAACCTTCAGAGTGACGATGCCGATCAAGTTGTGATAATCCAAACTCATGTCCATTCTAACGTACTGCTGAGGGTTCCGAGGTACACTACTCTCTGTTCGGCTTAGCTCTGAAAGGCCGACAAATTGCGCCGCATAGAAAGCCGAATTCTCGCGAGTGAAAATTTTCCCTTAAATGAACACTATTCCGAACTCAGCAGTGATTGCTGAGATGTGGACAACTAGGTTATAACAGAAAAGAAAAGACAACTGCGTATGCTGTCGACAATCAAGTAGATAGGTGACAATGATTGTGCAATATAATGTCATAGAAGTTCACAGTGTAAACTCTATCTGTCGCCCAGCAGATGTTGTGACATTCTATCCGCCACGCCATACGTCCTCTGCACGTATATTCGAGCCCCGTATCACGCGCAGCGAATTCCTGCACAAGCTGTCCTTCATCACTAGACGTGACGAACAAAATCTTCAGACTGGAGCTTATGTTTAGGTACGACCTTCTTCCTACTAGTAGCTATAACTACGGTACCACACCCAGTCTATACTGAGTCGACTTCCAATCGACGTTAGACCAACATGCGATCGACATCACGAGGGCAGCTGCTTGACACCTGGGTCACTTCCAACAAGCATACAATTGGCATTATGTCAACAGTTGATAGACATCTAGTCATCGTTTGATCTCAGCTCGATTCACGATGAGTATTGACTAGCAGCTCCCTGCCACCTAGGTGTAATCGCAGTAATAGCAGCCCCCAGGAAACACGCTGTAACACTCCGCGGTGCCGAAATTGATGCAACAGATTTGACAAGGGACACCGCGAACGCCATTCCAGACGTGCTGATCTCCTCTATCAAGCTCGGAAGTCCCAACAGAAACCTCCATACCCTCCCTCACTGACGCCTGCCATAAATTGAACTGCAAGTTCGTATGATAAGACTTGAGGAACCTTCGTAGAAGCGAGTGAACCCATAAACGATGGTTATGGCCGCTCATAATCCGAACACATTTCAAGTCGCAGTTAGGTATCTATCGAGCGGAACAACACAATGGTTTGATCACTCAAGCAACTCAAGGCAATTATCAATAAGCAACACAGATCGGGCGTCGCTGACTTCACTGTGCATGTAGAAATATATACTGCTTCCGTTGAAGAAGCCAATTACTACTAATTTCTCATCGAGTAGCCATAAAATAGCTATCACAGAAAAGAACTTATCTACAGTGTATAGAATAGTGGAGTTTCCCCAAGGGCTTAATTCGAAATAGAACAGAAGATAATCCACTTCAACAACAGTACAAGGCAACCGTTAAATGTCGAGTACATACGGAACAATAGCCTTCAGCACTTCGCTTCCGTCATTGACAAGTTAGAGGCTCATCAGAAGTGGACGATGGACGCTGAGAAACGCCTCGGTAATCCTACAGTCCAGTCCGTGACAGAGACTCACTAACACTGTTCCTGCCAGCTAGTGGCGTTAGACAGAACTGATTCCCGTTCTGAAACATAGAGACATATAAACGTCGGCTGAGGTTCCCATGTCATATACTAAAGTCGAGAGGATTGAAACGACAATCCGCATGGATTTTTAAGTTTATATGCAAAACGTTGAAGCACCTCATTGTCGTTCTCCTTGGTATCGCCATGCATCACGTCAAACTGGCAGCCAGTATCAATCGAAACCTCCGTTCTGAAGCAGATCCAATCAGTACGTAGTCCCCAACCAGATTATTGTGACGCGAGCAAGTCCCTAAGGCTACCCTTGGCCAAGTTTGTTCACCACTACTGAACTGTCCGAAGACCCTGCACCAGTGCAAGGCTGCGCTCCCGCGTTCACCGTAGAGAAAGGCGTGCCTGTCGAACAATCCACAAACTACTCCACTGCTGATCACTAACCAAAGTCGCATGAAATACTTCTCCCTTGCTACAGTGAGCACCCCTATCTTACACGTAGATACACTAGGAGTATAATCAGGTGGCAATAGCATCATGTCCACTTCCGGGCATCCAGTCAACCCAGGCTCCTGCGTAGGTATATAGAGGTGAGTCGCCAGAGATCCCAAAGTAGCCTATACATCCAATATATACAAAGCACGGAGGTCGACGTACATCAGTAGAATGATCAACCTGCCACTGGGTCTGCACCGCGTTATTGACCATCTGCGGTTGCATGGCGACACGGTCGCTCAGGTCCAGAGCTGTACAGGCCAAGAGGACCGCGCCATCCACGGGGTTAGCACTCGCTGAAACACAGTAGACAGTATGATGGATACAGCGGTAAAAGGTTGCGAAGACACCGGAAACTCGGACACGTGAGGGCCTTGGGCAACGACCAAAATTATTCCCCGACTCTCGCTCCGTATGAACACCTTACTACGACACGATTCTGTGAGGGATACGATCAACCTCAGGCTTGAAAACTTACACTACACTTACCACTGACGTTCGCCCGCTTGGTAGGCGGCTCTCCTCCAACACCAGTGAGCTCCTCAGTGAGTCTCTTCCGCACAAGACTAGTGTCCACCTCACTGGTCTCTGTCATGCCATACTGATCTAACGCTGTAGAATCGAGCTCTGAAGGTGGCCTCGACTTAGCCTCACAGGCCTCAGGCATTTCCTGCGACGCGGTCGCATGCAATCTGAGATAGAGCCTTGTTACGCGAATCAGCCAAGCCCATACCCTTGCATAAGCTTAACCGCGATATCATCCGTGTGAGAGTTGCCCAAAAGCCCCTTATCTTGGGAATAGGCCATGAGCTCGATGTCTCGGACCAGTGCTGAAGCATAGTCAACCTAAGCAGTAGACAATCCATCCAAACATGACAAAAGTCTGATTGAGTTGGTATTAATATGAATCAGGCGTCGGTGCTTCGGAAGATGCGTGAAGATATTCGTATCTTGAAACGGCTGCACGCGTAAAACGGCATCGAGTATCTTCACCGTGAAGACGAACTTTACAAATCGTCTCATAACAAGAGCTTCAGTAATCTCCAGACCCATCGTACCCCCTCAGATTGCAAGTTATCCCACGATGGTAATTCGAATGTAGGCGACCCTTCCGGACTAGCTTCATCAGTGCCCTCAGATACACTCACTAGAGAGAGACGCTGAGACCCCGTATTGTCCGAATCTACGTGGAGGTCACCATGCCGCTGTGGAGAAGCCGCCCTACCACTCAAGTTGCCTGTCCCTGATGACAATTCAGCAGTGATATCCGAGGCCCAATTGAAGAACGATGACATATCCATATCTATCGGACCAAAATGTTCGACCCATTCGATTAGATACAGTTCTCACTTTGACCATCCAAATTAATTCCCTCATGTCTGGCAGGAGCTCTCTCGGTAAGATTCATAGCTTTCCTCTTCCCAGCCCCACTCCGTTGTCGGGCTAATACGATCAACTATTGCGACTTAATTGACAAGTCTCACTGTTTCTCTTCTTCTCTCCAATGCCAGTGCCATCCACACCGACTTCCCGCAGCAGCTTGCGGGAATTCCTACGGACCGTCGAATACCTACCAAGACGACCAGTGAACACTGGAAACCCCGACCGCATTCACAGTTAAATGACTATGAAGAAAACGCTCAAGTTGTGATCCATGAATTTCATCCTACCACAGATTCTTAATAGCATTATCAGTCCTGCCCGGCAACAACTTAGCGATTTCCGCCCAACGGTTTCCAAACCTTCGATGAGCCTCGAATATTATCTTATGTTCTTCACTCGTCCACGGCCTCTTATTCACCTGCCAGACCCATAACCAGCTCCATGTTGCCGTAAGAACACACTACTTGAGGATCGAGATGATTGTGCCATCGCTCACGGCACTGCTTAGCCGACCTAGCCACATAGCAGCCACCAGCTGCCGTATTCACTCGACACAACGCGTCCGCGATCATTGTCCAATTGCGTGTCCCCTTGTTCTGGACCATATCTCTGAGAACGGCATGCCTCCTCTGGAATGATCCAAGTACAACAATCTACTTGATAATATGATCCTCATGCTCTTCCCAGTTCCTTCTGTCGCTCGCACACATTGAGCCTGCGAAGAAGTCAACGAATACGACAAAGTAATTCTGATCTCGGGGGGGCCAGTGTCGGATTTATCCACGACTTTTCCGCAAAAGTTTGATCCTAGTTTTACACTCAGGAAGGAAGAATCCCTTCAAAATCTCATATCCGTGGGGATCCCTATGCTCAAGCCACTAGCTACAAAATTAGTACCAAGAAGACCACGGGATAAAACATTAAAGAGGAACGCCATAGGAAGTGAACCGCGCTACGGCCTCTGCTACTGTTGCTGGTCTTAGATGATCCGCCTCCGAGCTGCCGGCGTTGACTCGATCCCTGCTGTCCAACACTCCTCGGACGAAGATCGTGCACGAGGTTGCTGACCGATTCGAACATAACGTAATTAACCGAGACTTGGAAAATTTGATAAGTACTCAACACAAGCATAACAGATCGGCCACGAAGAAACGATAATCGCCAACGCCGTCCAAAACACATCTCTCACGCGTACCTGTCACATATAACTGGCGAAGACCACGACTATACCATATGATTTACTTGTAGTTCGGCGCGAAACGGTATGCTTTTTTGATCTGAGGCCCCTCGATATGAGTAAGACCCTCATTGAACTTATATTGATCCCATTGGCAACGACGCCACTCTGAGCAACTACTTATCGTCAATCGCCTCCTGACAAACTTCCTACCATCGTTCCACTTGAAGCACTTGGTCGCAGCCTCCTCGGTTTCTATATCAGCCTGAGCCGTCAATAAACATCGATACTCCTCTATCGCCAAATACCTACATGAACCATGCATGGATCGATAATACTATGATTATCTAAAACTCACTTGCAAGCATCATCAGGATCAGACTGATGAATTTTGTTAGCATATTCAGCAGTAGTCTCGCGTATCTCACTCGAGGTCCGTGGTTCAGCCTTACTTGGAACCATACCTAAACCAACAGTGCAACAACCTCAGGGACTCGACCCACCGAAGTGCTTGCCAACTTCCTTCTCCCAGTCTAAACCGAAGGTGTGTGGCTGAGGCTTCGGAGGGGCAGGAGCTGGAGGCTCGGGATCACCCCAAATCTGAGCTTGGCTTTACCACTGCAAAGCCTAGAAGTGACCAAATTACCTCTCCTAACCCACACTCTTTGATGATCTCATAATTCTTCTCGGCCTCTGTCTTCGGCACAGCCTCGTACACGTTGTACCTACGAAAACCTTGGTCAACTTTTGAATGGTTCGTCAAAAATTTTTACCAAGTGTCCGAGTCATAGCCCATAGCTGCATCGGAATAGTCCTGAACGCCAGCCTTCACCTCCGACTCGGGCTTGGTCTCGCACTCGGCCGTGTTGGGAGAAAAAAGTCGATATATGAGGTCATTCACCATGAGGGGCGCGGGATAGATTAAAAACGTCCCTAAGACAGAATTAGAGACAACATTTTCTCGGACTGTGAGAGAACGTGCCGATTTCGGAAAGTCTACGAATCCACTGCAAAAATCTATTTTGTCAAATCTGATGTTTTGTCTTTCACAGATGTGTTGAGTAACAACAAGAAAACGCAAGAATGCAAGATGTAGATCATGATTTGCACTAAGCACTTTCGACGTGCCAGAGTGCTCCCTGGATTGGACTACATCTGTAAAAATCGATTCTGAGGTGCTGTTTGAACTCAGAAGAGGTCTATGGAATACTTTGATTAATACGATGGTACAGAATATTTATACCATCGAATTGAACACGATTTAGTGACGCCATCTGGACGTCCTTCGGCACTGAGTGTCACTGTTTCTGTGAAGTGTTGTGTTAGAAGGTTCTTTCGGGACCCGGATTTACTCCTTTAAGTAACATTTATATTATACTTGCGCAATGCTACTCTCGCGGGTCGGGGCGTTGAAGAGGTAAAACTAATATCATCTCTGCATCCTCCACAAACAATCACTCTGTGGAAGGTTCTCGGCCGGGCCTGCCTACAACTTGACGGCTCAGCGATTCAAGAGCTACTACGACGACTTCAAGGATCGTCTTAAGCCGGGAAAGTACACCCAGGGTCGTTGCCCTCAAAGTGAAGGTGATTATCGTCAGGAGTCAAAGACCATCGGAAGGTGAGTACCTGTCTTCGCCTCAATGTTGGACTTCATTTCTTCAGGGAGCATCTTAATGATGATGGTACTCGCAGCAAGAGGTATACCGTGAAGGAAGGTGAGTGAAGATTACTGTCTGTATGGATCAAATGTCATCTTCTTTTCAGCTGATGCCTTGGGTTATCATTACCATCCACCGATTGACAACAAGGGTCAGGTCTACGTCAAAGGACCTAATACGGTTCACGAAAGGGGTCAGACTTGGATCAAAGGCTATGAGCTTCCGAGCATGGAGTACGTCTTCGCCATTTTTCTTTGATCTAATAGCATTCCTGTTACACTCCAGATACACCTATGGTCCCAAGCAGGAGGACATTCCTTTCTACCCCAGGGTTAAATTGAACGTCTGGGGTGATGTCCTGATCATGAACTATACTGTCGACTCTATTTCTGGTGTTTAGGTAACTACAACCTTGTCATGAAGGTCGAGTTCTTGTTCTTCTATTTGCCCACTATTATAGTCTTTGGTATTTGCATTCCTGTTTATACCATTAACTTTGCTCAAGAGGAAATTATCTACACGACAATGACTGTTAAGGTCACCGGCAGGCAGTGGTAGGCTACTTTCCTTGATATGTGTCGTCCCCTGGACCGTATGATTTCGCAAGGTATTGGGTGTACGAAGTCGAGTCCCCAACAGATGAGGAGGATGAGGATGAAGATGAGGATGATGAAGATGACGATGAATGATCATGAGGGCAGTCTTAGTGCTTTCCGTCGCTATTGAACATCTTGAGGCGCGAGCCCATGAACCTAATGACGACGCGGGAAAGGTTTTGCTATTGTTGATGATACCAGCTTTTGAGCACTTCGAGCTGATAGTATTCGTGACGTAGACGGTTGAGGTTATTTATGCTTATACAGTTTTGCGTTGTAGTTGCTTAGGAGAGAATATTCTGCACAATATCGTTGTGGACAGGATAGGCTGGTTTCATGAGTATAATCTTCAAATTAAGATCATTTCATAAGAATTCCTTTCTGTCTTGTATTGTGTGTCTTACCACAGTTCTGCCGTCATTGACATTAGTAACCATGATCGAAATGTTTGGTTGCTGAAGTTCCGATAGAATACTGTATTCGCATGAAATGCCCCGTTCTTCCCAGATGTTTTTAGGTTAAGTGAGCAAACCCAGTCGCACAAGAGAAGTTGGTTGTCTTGTAACAAGTTGGGGTTGGGTACGGAACTCCGAGTTATCTGAACTTATTCAAAAATATCTCGCTAGTCTATGTCCCTCAGCAAATGAGCATTTTTCAACTCAACAATCAAATTATTTCCCATCTAGTGCTAAGGGTGCGCTTTGGTGAAAGAATCTCTGTTGAATGGCTAAATAGTGGAGTAGTGAAGGTCTCTGGAGATAGATCAACCGCATGACCAATTGCCGAATGCGCTTTTTCCAACAATGTCATATCGACCAGATAGCAAATAGCCAGTGGCGAATAGCAACATCACACTGCCTCAATTGTAGCTCAAGAACTGTCAAATATACTTTGTCCATATTTTCAATAGCTGAAACATAAATCAGCAAAGCAGAAATATGACAAGGAGTTGCATGTTTGTGCTATAATGCGACTTAGGCTTAGTTATGCACCTATGTGAAATCGCGCACAACGGCAAGAGTGTGAAGCAAAGAACCCAACTTCTCACCATAGTCACACATTAGGTAGTCCCGCTCATAGAGACACCGGCATGCTCATTCATGCTACCACAAGATAACAGTAGCCGGTACCTTCCAGCATTCCGAATCGGAATCCACTGAGTATATCGGAATTTCCGATATACTCAGTATATTGCTCATCTCGGCTATGCCAGAGGTCTCATTGATGTAGACAGCTCGTGCCTGACCAGCAGGGAACACTCTGAGGTCCACGAGCCGCCACCAACCGTAGTTACACAAGTTTCCGATAAACCTCCCTCGCGAATAATCAGCGACTAATGCAATTGAGACCGACAACAGCTGCTGACGGTAGCGGCTGCACAGCAACTGTTACCTACTAGCAGGGCGGAATTAGTAATTTCGCGCTAATTTTGACTAATTAATTACTAATTCACTGAACAAACTGCTACCGCAAAACATCATAGTAATTTCAAAGCTCATAAGGACGATTTCAGCTGCTGAATTAAGGCTGCTGCAGGCCAGCAAGCGATACCGATACCAGACACTGGATCTTGTTCATTAGTGACGCCCTCACTGACAGGGGCTCGATAACGCCAGTTTTAAAACAAGTTGACCCAAACACCTGATGTGAACATGTATTGTTGAGCGCCGCTGCGCATGGTAGCTGAGACATTAGCAACAAAATGATGCTCGCTGTCTCCCAGAGCGCTGAACTAGAGCGCAAGCTACTATCCATGTCAAATAAAATGGAGGAATTTGTCTTTTCGATGGCATCAGAGCGCACGCGTTGTGATTCTTCCATGTATTAACCTCCACTGAGTGCTTTCTCGGGCATAGACAATTGGCTAAGTCCCTCCCAGTCAGTGGATTCGTCACGCGACATCGCCGTTCTCAAGGCTTTCTGTCGAGCTCGTCGTCTCTCGAGCAAAGCTGAGCGATGCGTTGTTCTCTCAGCGATGGCAAACTGTGATATCGTTGGAGAGTGCACCGGGCCGGGGCTGACTGAGGCCACCCAAGGCAGTAGAGAGCCTGAAGAACATCATACTGGTTTGCCTCATCATCACACTTTCATCTGAATAACTCCCGATGTGAATCTATGGACGGAAAAATGACGATGTTCACCTTGCCATTGCATGGTCGATTCCAAATTGGAGTAACTCCAGTCGATCAGCCTGGGGAAGTCGTGTCTATACTCGACCGGAACTGTGCTCGGTCGAACGTGATTGGTGAAGTGGCAATTCGACGTACTCGTGTTATCTGAAAGTTCGATATGCTCTGATCGGCTCGGTAGAGAAAGTTGAGGAGTTATGCGAGACGATACATTGCACCACCATGGACGTGATGGCTGTGATAGTCATATGGTTTGCCTCCATAATCATGGCTAGGAGAACGAATCGATCCTGCACCCAAGTCATCCCAGAGGCTGACGAGCTCAGGTAACGTTGACAGTAGCTCGTTCACGGAAGGGAATTCCATCTTCAGGTGCGGAATTACGGTGGACATCGTTTGGAAAAGTTCCTGCATTGGCCTGCGATCCAAGGCGAACTCCAGGGCCTGGAGTTCGGCAATGCGAGGAGGAATGGTTTCCTCGACAAATTCTTGTCTTCTACCGAGTCGCTGAGGCTTCCAGGGCCATTCGCTGTCTTCGATGATGTTATCCTTCTTGCATGCCCTGTTTTAGTACTCAACAGTTACCATCGAATGAATACATGTTGCGGTCCACCACAACAATGGAGTTTCGCTCCTTTTAGAGCGGTCTGGCTGCCAGACTCTGGTAGACCCCACGTATTACGCCATTTCACGTAAAACGGCGTTCTACGTGAAATGGCGTAATACTCTGTGGAAAACGCGATACTCGCGCTATGCGGTGGTCGTGAAATATATTTGTCACTAGTGTTTATCACATCACGGTCGTGAAACTCCAATCTACTAGTCCTAAACTCCATGATTAATACGCATGGACAAATAGTCCCAACCATAGGAAAGACCGAGGCAGGGGTGCTAGGTCATGTTTGGTGACACAGTGTTCGGGTTGTCACTGACACTCCACAAGACACGTGTTTTCACTATGAATTCTCGAACTGCAAACTAGAATCCCCCAAGGCGTAAACAAATCGATTGAAGGTTGGCATCCCTCTCGCGGTAACGATGTCATGCTTCCCACTCTGTGCAAGATGATGATTAGCATCATGGTGGAAGATAGCCTCGTAATGAGGAGCCGAATACAAACTGAAATGGACACCGAGAGTAAGCACCAGTGTGGAGGCACTCACAGACTGCCGACAAGTGGTGTAAACCTCTTGTGTGGCCACCAGTGTTTCAAGAGGTATCCAGCGATAGCATAGTCATCTTGTCTGCTCCTCCACAATGCTTTCATTCGTTGCCTGTGCCCGATCGGCATCATACTGAATCACTTCAATCAGATGGCCGAAGACCTCTGCGATTCTCACTAAGTCGATCGCGCGAGTCTGTCGTCCTCTGCAGATTCATGTTTGACAAACTTCGCTATCGGCAGTTCATGATCGTGCGCATGGGTCCAATAGAAATAAGCATCATCAGCCTCACAAGGTGGTGGGTGTATTGCCCATCTGAAATCAACCTTAGCTTGTCGCACACTATACTAGTCACGACTACGCCGTGAACTTACGGCCCTGTGATTTTGCCATTGCAGCATCTCGCCATAGGAGACGGATAAGACTTAGAAAGGTATTCGTACCGTGGATCGGGATCAGAGGGGGCATGCGGTAGCCTAGACGGAAAGCCTACTACGGTGGATGCTTACACTCGAACACATCTATTTCAAGTATTCATAAGGATCTCACCTACGTGTGAATTCCGTTCCTATCACTCAATGGTCCCATCATGTGATCTTCATAGTGAGTAAATTCGACTTTGGGATAGCACCTATGTCGCTAGAGTCCTATACGTACAGTAGAGGGTATCTATTCGTTGATGCTTCCTCTCACGGTTACTTTAGTAGTTCTCCAGGGAGAGCCGGTAGCTCATGAGTCACGTTTGTTTCGAGGTCCATAGCAACACATACATATCTAGGAACCGACACTACTTCGCATATTGTAGTCCGACGGTTGAATGCCGACTTCAACGTCGAACAGTAGAACGGCGTTGTACTCACCCTCGTGGGTTGACGTAACATGTCCCCTTAGGTGGTGGGGGAACATAGTTAGGCTCGAGAGGTAGCTTCGGTGGAGGCGCCATCTTCACCAGGTCCTTGCTTGAATTGACAAGTGGATTTTTCGAAAGATAGCTTCTCAGTTCCGATGCTCGTGGGGGTAGGGGTTCTGACACGCTCTGTGACTCAATTCTCAGCATAGGAGTTTCACCCGTGATATGAAAAACACTAGTAAAAACATATCTCACGACTACTGCATATCGCGAATATCGCGTTTTCACCCAGTTTTACGCCACTTGAAAGGAGTGAAACTCTATAGTTCAGCGAATGAACCTACGGCCTCTATCGTCAGTAACAGCGTCTTTTTCTAATAACTGAGGTTCTCTCCTTTGCATGAAATCCTGGAGTCCAGCAATGCGGGGTGGTCTAGCAGGATCGTTGGGACCGTAGTCAGCTTGAGGTCCGTGGCACTGTAACAGCGGTGAATTGCTTGTTATACGAACCTGAGAGAGAAACCTCTTCATGACCACTCGCAATGATGCTCTATACACTCTGTTGTATGTGAAGGGTGTTTCAGTTCCAAACTTCGTGAACACCTTTGAGTATGCAGAAGCTAATTTAGGGCGAGAGTTTCGGAGTTTAACCCCGAGTCCAACTGACAACTCCGGGAGTTGGCACAAATACGGCAAGGTCGTATCTTCCTTCATCCGCTACAATAAGGATTCAATTTTGACATGCCTATTAATGATGATGTTGGCCGTATCAATGTTATCGATCGATGTTGTACCTTATTGTAGCGCATGAAGGAAGATACGACCGTTTCAGACGCTCATGGTGTGGGGTCACTCAGACGACTATTCTACAAACTCGCCTGTTGATGTAGTTAGCAGGGTGGCCACTGGGCACAGACACCCTCGCTCTTCACAAAAGACTCACCCTCAGGCATGGTTTTATTCTAACTGGCCGAGGTCTGATTAAATGACCCATGGCATCATATTTGCATGTAGAGAGATCGTCACTGCAACAAGTCGGTATAATATGCGAGCCTTCATTCTGATAGAGCTCTCCATCAGTAGTCCGAAGGTGGTGATCATTATGTAACGAGGTAAGTATAACCATAGTAAATGAAGCTTGTCGAGGGATTATCGACTCACCGTCCATATGAACGACTAGGAGGGATACTTCAATGCTGAGGGGAGTAGCTGTCTGGTTGGACGGATACAGACCCGATTCCGAGCAACGCCACGCAAACCATATCACCCGGCTTTACAGGCAGTAGCCCATCACCGACAGCGCGCCTCCACGTAGGGATAATCACAAGTGAGGGACCGACCACGATCATGCGCTGATAATCGATCCTTCTGGCGGACGATTATTAGCAAATCGATTACCTGATCGATTCGCTCCTGAGCGACAATCGCATAAATATTCATCACTGTCACCGTTGACCATGCAAATAGACCGGGTTCAGCTCGTAGTGTGCTATCTCCGTTGGTTATTGCATGAAGAATATGAAGGCGGCAAGTGGCTCCGCTTTCTAGTAGTAGGTCGTGGAATGCTGGTCGTCCACAATCCGACTAGTCACTCTTCGCAGTGTTGCGCTCGTACGGATGTGTTCCTGCTAGAAGCGTATCAATCGGAGAGGAAAGCCACTAGATCTCATCATGTCTGGCCGAGAAACTCTCAAGTGTCTCGCGGTCCTTATGAGCTCTAATATCTCACTGTAGAGGTCGATGATGATTTTCAAAAATTTAGACAAGCATATGCCTGATATGTTTTGATGAATCCTTTGACACGTCTGAGATTGACTGCTCTGTCACCCATATTACCGATTTCCTAGGCTCCACGTGCCTTAGAGATTAAATGGCCTTGGGTGTATAGTAATAAGAGACCATAAGCTCGTGATTGGCCTGCAATGCCTATTGCGTTTCGCAGATCTCATACAGCTGATTGTTTTATCGATGATGACTTAACGGAAATCCAACACTGAACTCTCGTGTTGAGCAAATCCAACGAGCTTTTTAACCCTGAGGATAAATTGAATGTATTACGCCCACCTATCGCACGGCGTTGCGAATTTCCATGGTAACGCTGTTGAGCGTTCGGGCTATAGCAAAGCAGACTTTATGCGTTGGCTATTCACTTGTGGTAGTGTATTGTCGATTTGAGAGGTCCTAAAGCATAAGTGTTTTGAACGCCAGTATTCCAATCAGCTGCCAAGTAATGGTATTGGTAGTTGCAAGACTCATGGCAAGAGTGTATGGTCGTAGCACTTTGGAGACGAGGATAACACATATCACGTTTCTTATACGCACTACGCTACATTTTCATGCTCACTGAGTGTTACGGACTGGAGTCTTTCTTGTCTAGAATGTGTTGTGCTGTCCAACGATACGGGAAGTTTTGGCATTGCACGTTGATCGAATGATTCAGTAGATCTACGACATCCTTGCAGGCCATTGCTAACGAGTTTATATTGTAGAGGTTAGCGCTAACCTAGGCCAAATACCGATGCTGATGGTCCCGTCGCTCCGTCTCCAATTCGCGTTTCAGAGATGTAATCGTGAGGTGGGCGGATCTTCCACGCGTTCCGTATGGCATAGCATGGTCATGGGCTGAAGGGCCTTCTGTATCTTATCCCAATCCCACCACTCCCGGGAGCAAGTACCGAAGAGGGTGAAGACAGGCACTGTCGTCGGCACAGTCACTGAATGTCGCTCAGACTCAGGGTCTCTTAGTGTCTTTCCCTCATCGATACTTCTAGAGTACTTCTACTCCTTCTACCGGACCCACGTGACCAGGAGTGGGACATTTAACCCGAAGTTGACATGTTTAGCGACCTCGTACATAAAGAAATGCAGTCCGTATATACCCGGGTTTATCAGGATCGCACATTCTTAACGCTGTCAAGCTCAGCGATCAAGGATATACATCCAATGATAGACGGTCGCGTTGGTAGGCGATCAACGACAGTTCACAAGGCACATTCCGCGTTACCCATGCTCAGTTAAGCTACACACACTTGATAACAGAATAGCATCGTGTTGTCATACCACGGGTCATATGAATAATCAAGAGTATCCCTTGCTCCAGCTTTAACCGATATTATCGGCGTGGTTGTTCGCACCTTGGCGTTCGGAACGGCACACGCGAACATAACACCTTTCCGAGGTAGCAGAGAGAGACAGTCTTTCTGTTAGATCCAAATAACACCTGATGACGTTTCTTCGTGCTTCCTGCGAGGTTTTTTGGCCGAACTCGTTCGGCGTGTAGTGCTGTAGCAAACCGTATATCGACATGTGACGGGACACTTGGCCGCCGAATACCATGTAGCAATATATATGCCGTGTGTTGATACGACGTTTCTGCTCTATTCAGTACAATATGAAAACGCATCCCAATTTATGATCAATTTGATCAGTTTTGCGTTATACGTGTCAGTATTTCTGCTTGAGCTTCAACACTGCGTTCCAGTTGGATTTCTCACCGGTGCTCGTTGGTTATTAATATCCTGGTCTCATTTCGGGAGTATCTGCAAACGACAAGGCCAGAGTGTTGACGCTGAAGAGGCGTCTCTCTGAGTCCGATAGAGACCTCATGGCTATCGTCGATTGGCTCAGCACTACCAACACGGATAAGCAGCTCTTGAAGGGGACAATGATTGGTAGAGTACTTCATTTTTTGAGCGTGTTTGTTCATCGCGATAAGGATTCATGGCTGAAACGGAAGTAATGTGCTCAAATGACATGAGCTCATGTTGCTGAACATGTATTTGATTCCCGAGAAAAGACTCCCGAGAGGAGGCATATTGTAGTGTGGCAAGAAAAAGTGAATCAAAGTGAGACAATATCACGGGCTCTCCTTTTCCATGCCTTGACGTTCTATAGATACTTCCAAATGGAGACTCGTTCTTCTGATAAGTCGATGACTACGTTTGTCAGTAACAAATTGTTACCTGTTTGAACTGCGGCAACAAGTGGAAGTTTCGCTAGCTATCTTATCAAAATGGCTGGTGGTACCATAGCTTGCAATGCCATGTTGTTCCTCGCACATTGAGACCGATTTGTGTTATTGTGCGCTATTCTTAGGAGTCATTTCCGTGAGCCGATTTTGTCGGAGATTCGGCTTGTTAGCGCGGTTTGCCTCAGCGTCAACCCTGGTCCCACTATCAGGCTTACACTGCGCACCGAAAGATCGAGATGAAGCCATGCAGGAAAGTTGGCTTTAAGTTCTAAGGACAAGCCCCCTCCATCATTCTGCAACAAGGTCGTGCATATTATGCACTGCATAACAAGGTCATCATATTCTTCAACGTTCTCACCTACAATTTTTACTTTACAATCCACAGTAATTCGCCCAACCCAAAGCGATTTGTGTATAGAAACAGTACGTTGGTGTAAGGTACGTCGGTGAGTTTCGAAGTTCTTCATTCTTGTCGTTTACTTTTCTTCTTCTTTGGTGCCTTGGACCTCCCAGTCTTCCTCTTCTTGCCCAACAACGCCAAGGCATCCGTAAGGTCAGCAGTATCTTTCTCCTCCTTGGCGGTCTTCGATCTAGGAAAAGAGCGAAAATCAATCAATCCATGCTCTTAGACAGGGCAACCGTCGTTACTTCTCTGCAGATTCCTGGTCCTCTTCTTCCTCATCATCACTCTGCTCATCGGCCTTTCGTTTCTTGTGGCTTGTCTCAACCCCAGCAGTTGACGTATCCAAATTGAGAATGTCATCAAAGAGTTCTCTGGCTTGCGATTGTTTCTGCATTTTCTCTTCCCATTCCTCATTGGCCACCTTGAACCTAATGAAGAATTAAGGACGGACAACAATAGACTTTTGCCTTACTCATGGAGCCCGAGTCGTTTCCATAGGACCATGTTCTTCTCCTTGATATCCTCCTCGATCTTCACCAAGCGTTCAGCCATTGTCTTGCGCAATGCCGCCTGAGGAGCCAATTCCATGCGAGATGCTCTTAGCGCTATCCCTAGTACATCGGCGATCGAGCTCTCCCACATCTTAGCCAAAACCCAAGACCCTGCAGAGGGCTGTGTGGCAAGCTTCTCGATCAAAGCCTCGTGCTTCACCAACGCACGGATGAACTGCATCCGCTGCCCTTGAGGTATAGGGGAGTTGGAATCATCAATAAACTAGCAATACCACGAAGAGTAATCCAAACGGTTCAAGTCACGACTTACACTCTCGATGAGCCTCCCGCCAGCCCGATCAGTGCAGTATCCAACGACAGATGATTCTTCTTCCGACTTCTTGGCATCAGCCAGGATCTGCGGGCCGAAACCACTGACCAAAGGCTGCACTCTCCTAGCTGGGAAGCGCAGGAGGAGCGTGGTGGCCAGAATGCATGCTCCTGATGACAGAGGTGCTCGAGGGAGCGATGACTCATCTTGTGAGAGGGAAAGCACAACACCTGAGATCCGACGAATATCATGGTCTAGTGATCCCCAGCTGTAGGCTCACCCCATGCTCTAGGGAAGGCCTCGCTCCCCTTAATCCCGAGGGCACCGAAAAAACGGTCAGCAAAGAGCTTGTAGTGCTCATTGACGTGCGCACAGGCCTCACAAAGTTTCTGTAGGGTTGCCAGGTGACTGAGATGGTGAACCACTTTGAGAAAGAGCCATCCATAGACTCTTACGGTGGTGATGTCGCTGCATTAGCAACAAGGAACTCCACAAGCCCCTCTTTACTAAGCAGCTCATGGAGATGTGGTGGATCACGGATGCTCGAGATAATCTGAATCACACAAGCAACGGTCATTCGTAGACTGAGCACAGCAGTAAGAAAAGAGATTTTCTCAGGCAAATTCGAAAAATCAGCAGAATTTCCTCGTTAATGAAAGAGAATTGTGAGCCGAGACTCTAACGGAGCATCGATACAATAACTAACTATTACACATTAAACTGAAATTGTTTTATATAAAACCGTTTCTGATATACGCGGGCGAGCGGGAAAATGACCACCCACCGAAATGAGCCTACCGCCTGCAGGACGTAAAGTCCAAAACCGCCCTCGTATAGGCTGGTCATATCTTCTTCAGTGAGGAGTTTCACAAAGCCCATAACACCCGAGTGGAAGACTTCTGGCTGCTCACTCGAACAGCGAGATATAAATACCTCCAATGAGCGCGAGCCCGGTCCGGATTGCATCAGATGCCGTATCGAGTCGGAGTCACCTAAATACAGAGCATCGCATTGGAGTTACGACTAAGCTCTATTTTTACCAAGTATTTGCTTGAAGACACTTTCATCAGGAGAGCCAACCGTCACTAGAAGCTGTATAGTAACTGAATGCATTCCTCCAATACCCGCAAGGATTCTCCAGTTCGGCTCACCGGAAGAGGAAGGATGCTCACAGAGCTCACATAGTTGCTGCTGTTGCTGGGACTCATCGTCAGCAGTATCGGACCCCGAGAGGCAGCCACAAAGCTTGGCGAGCAATTTGGAGCAGTAAGAGGGAACTGAGATATCGAAATGACCCCTAGTTTCCTAGCGACAATCTACTGCAATGTGAATTTGTACACTGAGTTGTTATTTATAGTGCATACTGTAAACGGTGTGAGGTTCAACGGTATAATACCGTCAACGGTTAGTGGTGAAAATCTGAATTTATACTCAACATCAACGATAAGGATTCAATCCTCTACCAATGCATATTAAATCTATAGTAGGTTACCTACAGCCAGTGTTGGAATATGTGTTCGTTTTCCTGAACTAAGCTCAGGAGTTTCCTCACTAACTATAGGAGTTCATGTACGGATTCGGGTACAAATGTACAGAAACCAACAAAATTCCACAAAATCTCCTCAGAATTTTCATATTGTCGACGACACATGTAGTTGACCATGTGCATATACTCCCATACTGGAGACTCCAGTTATTCCTTTTCTCACCAGATTTCTCGAGTTTATGAGCCGGCAAAGTGAGTGCCGTTTCCCGACCGCTAGCCGCAGCATTCTGTTGCTGTTGCCTCTTCTTTTTCTTCTTATTGGAGCTCGTAGATGGCTGAATATACCCAGCCAGAGTTAGAGCTAGGGAGCGTATCTAAAAACCACTACATTTTCGCAAATACGGAACGGTGGTCAGTTAATATGCGAAAACTGGGAAGTCTGAGACAGTTACTGTGTGAGCGAATATGCACATGGTTAATCACATATGTTGGTGAAAATCCTGAGGAAATTTTGGAAAATTCTGAATTTATTCCTATACATTTCTACTCGCATTTGTATGTTAACTCCTGAGCTGAAGAAAGGGAGTATAGGTTCCTTCAACACTGGGCACCTCTGAGGACATTCACAGCGAAGGATAATACACTCGATTCAATAACAAAGAGCCAGACGTTGTTAGATGCCCTCAAGAGCCAACCTACAATGTGAGTCGCACAAGCATCCCAAACCATGTCAGAGAAGTTCTCAACAATGTAGGCTACCAGAGTCTTCAACATAGAACGCACCTGAAAACAAAAAATGCCTACACCAGGGATCGAACTTGTGCGAGGAACAAGAACGCGAGAAATTCACCTGCTCATTATCCAATTGAGTAACTAGACATGCGACCGCCTCCTGAACAACATGGCTGCCGTATTGATCGTAGTACCTGTCAATCCAACAGTGGGGAGCTATGAACCCACTCGATCCAACACGCCTCATTACATATCAGTTTTGTCCAACAATCTTGAGCACATATCTATAAGCTCCTCCCCAAGGTTGTTATTCTTCAAGAACCGCACCTATTACCAACGATTTCACCCGGCCTATTATCCAAATCCCTCAGTACCAGTCTTTGGAGGTGTTTACTGCCAGCTTGATCCTGAAGCAAGAGCCCCTCTTGGCCTTTCAGCTCCTCAATCACAGCAGCAATCATCGGGAGATTGGCAGTAACCTCAGCTAGGGGCTCTCCAGAACTCCCTTCCCCTAGCTTGAGCACCTCCCCTACAGACCGTAGGTAACTGTGCGAGAACAACGAGCCAGGGATGTACAATATGATAAGATAAACACCATAAGATAAACTATTCAAAATAATTATATTGTGATTTCAAATCGTCTACCTTGTCAGATCTTTAGCCTTTTCCCTCTCTGCATAGCTGCGAGGTGGAGGGCCTTGTTCGCTCCTCCTGGGCGTTGTGACAACAGTATCATCCCCCGCATTCCTAGCACTATCCTCGCCTTGCTCCTGCTGATAGCCGGTGCTTTTCCGTCTGTTGCGACCACCACGAGCCATTGGTAAATCAAGAGTCAACTGCCTATGCGCTTCCTTCCTCAACACAATGCACGTATCGCAATACGTCAGAACTCGGAAACTCCCCGTCTACACCCGAAAATAACGGCGAATACAACGCCTACTACAGCGAGAATAATCGGTAGTAACATATCTGAGCTAGAGGTCTCGCTATGCTGGCTTATGAATGAGGCTTGCGTGGCCCGTTGATCTATATCCTTCAACGACGCTGGTCGAGGGGGAAGAGAGGGGTACGAAGCACACAGATGGGGCTTACGTCGCTTGTGCCGGTCATCTGGCCGATACCTACGAGCACTTGACATCAATACATTAGCAGGGACTTACGGAGTGCCGAATGTCTGCAAGTTGAATGCTCGTACGACAACCTCAAGGCCCATTAGAAGTCTGTGCTCTTCGGTAGGATACCCCAGCTCAGAGACTAAGAGTGCCGCAGCTTCTACTGTACATACCCTGAAAGCACCCGATAGCAATGTGACTGTAGCCCGTCATATTACCTATCCGCTTGACTCTGAGTCCTGCATAGAAACCGAGAAAGGGTGGTAGGCATGAGTCGCACACGAGGCACCGAGTGGTCTATACGCTCTAATACAGTGAACATCAGGGATCTGTGGCAGATCAAGGGCGTTGCTACTTTGTAGTCTCTTGGCTTGCTTCCAAGTCCCGTCCACTAGGATGATCAAAAGCTTCTCATTTCCCTCACAGTGGGCGGCCTGAGACGCTTCACCCTCAGAACGGAGCTCTTCAACCGTTTTGGATTCAGTTGAGGGGAACAACACGCAACACCTGCACACAGCAGTGATGCTAAACATATCGAGAGTGGCCTAACTACCTGGACTTGTGCGCATCTATTGCTTCCTGCAAAGCCTGCATGTCCTCCACTACTGAATCCACGTAACTACCAAACAGTAGTTCATTGGAAACCGCAACCCCATACACTGGTACATTCTGGCATCGTAGAGCTTCTCCAAAACCTTCCCAGTATTCGACGCCCTATAGCGTTCTTTGGCATGCATGTAAACCGCAATTTCGAAATTGAGATTCAGCCGCTCATCCTCCATGGGCCGCATGGAGCGGAGCTCATCACACACGCAAAGCTTTTTCTTCATGGCGCATTCCGCACACCTGACTTACGTTGGCCACAGGCTATTCCCAATCCTATACTCACCTGTGGCTGTGCTCTATCATCAGCTTGCTCGTAGCAGTAGTAATAGCAACACCGACTCTCTCGCGTTCCTCTCGTGGAAGACTACTGAGCTGACTATGGAAACAATCACTATTATTGGCTCAACGTCCCCATAGTACATGTTCAATCCTAGCACAGTTTATAGGCCGTTTGGTCTCCTTCCATTGTTTCTTATTCCAGGGATCATTAGTTATCAGTTTACCATTCTCAGTAGCCTCCTCGATCACTGCAGTGGCTTCCTTCTCAACGGTCTCGTCCCAGGCTGGGAGCCGAGCGACGAGATGGTCAATTGAGGAGGGGGATCGAATGACCATATAAAACTAAGATTACAGACCTAGGCGAACAGCTTTAGCAAGGCATATCGATTTCCCAAGTACGCTAACGGCCCAGATCACCAACCCCTGGAGATTGATTTGATGACCACCTTCAGGAATGTAGGTAAGTGGACGTATAAGACCTGCACAGATGACCTAACAGTAGCTCTGCCCACATCTAACTCAACAAGACCCGATCTCTGACCTTTTCGTATAGGTGCAATTGCTGGCACAATTACTGTAGTTGATGACGCAGAGTCGAGAAAATATATCCAATAAAGACTGAGCGTAAGGATTAGATTCACCAAACGAGTTGATCAAGCAGAATGAAGCCGAATATCAGGCGGCAACTTGGAATTGTTGTCACCGACAGCCAACTCTAGTTTCTCTGCTACAAGTAAAGAATAATCGACGAGATTTAAGTAATCCTCATAATCGACAGTCGTAAAAGAAAGGTCGGGATAAGATTCTTATCATAAGAATCGAGAATCAGAAGGAGTAGAACACTGTCGCACGCGAAATCGTAACTCAATACGACGGGCATAAAGATGCCGGAGATTATCAAGTAAAGAGCGAAATGAAGCACGGGAAGTAGGGACAGAAAACTTCACCCTGGCATGAGCCTTGATCACATGACGCAACCTCAGATAGAAGGTATGCTCGATGTCGATCAAAGGCATGTCTGCTTCACGATCTTTGAACGAGGTAACGAATTTTACAGTACCGAAATCTAAACCACCAAGTTTATCCAACACACGAAAATAACGCTTACTCGGTAGTGAGTGGCGAAAGAGCCAAATACGACATGTAGGAACTGTTAGCCCGAGATCGTAAATGGTCTCTCCTGCACGAACAGCATCACCAACCGCGTAAGCAGAAATATTAGACAATAAAGACGGAAAAAGCTTTATCTTCATACCGTACATCGCCAAATACAAAGACCCGACATTCGGGGGAGAAGAACCACAGTGTCGCAGAGCATCACAGATCACCCTTGAATCGCAGTTAAAAACCCCGGAGATCACCGAATTTTCGTTAGGATTAGGTAAGATCGTCAAACCGGCCGATCTTAGATAATCACAAAACGAGTCCTTCGGGAAGGTATCCTCCACAAATAAACCGCAAGGGGCAAACGCCGAGCCGATGAGGTGAGCCAGTAGGTCTCTGAACCGGTTACGCGGCGTAACTTACGTCAATTGAGATCGATTAGTTGGGCGCGCGCAAGGGTCCACCAGCATTATCATTTGTTGAAGATCTATTCAGACTCTGGTGGACTATGTCACGTCCTCTATATTTTCTGCTATTTCGTAACGGACCGTAGGAGCACCAGGTGCATTCCTTGTATGTAAAAATCTTCATTGATTGGCATTGAGTGTTTTGTTCAACTCCCATTGTCCCACGTTTCGATCTTCAACTTTTATTGATGAGAGCAGGATTTGATCTAATATATTTATGTCACCATATGTTTAGAAGGAGATTATATATATGATAACATAGATTAACATTACGATTGCCGATCGCGTTAAGATCGTTATTACGAGTCAAACAGGAATTGCCCAAGATCAGCAATGAAACCGCTGTAACGGTTCGGTTATTCTCAGGAGTCGGTTTTGGTATAATTGTCATTACACTGGATGTCTCTCCGCGCCTCTCGTTTACTTCGTGCTGGCCTCCTGCCGAGCGCCAACACCCCAGCAGGCATCACCAACCGACTTCTGCTAACAATGGGCTCTCCTAGGGAGAACATTTTCTATCTTAAACCGGTAGGGATAGAGCGTTGCCTTACCCTCTCCCCACTTTGGAGTATTGTCAGATCGACAGCGTGACAGTACCGGGTACTGAGGGTACTTTCACTATCACCAATAATCACTCTCTAGTGATATCTCAGTTATCTCCTGGTGAGCATCCTAATGAGTCGTAACACCGTTGTATCATTATTTTCAGGAGTAATTACTGTTCGTGATGGTACTGAGCTCAAAGATTTCTTCATTTCCGACGGTTTCGTATTCTTCAATCAACCCTCGGACGGCACTGGTTGTTGTCGTGCTGAAATCTCCGGTGTGGAATTGGTAGTTTACTAATCTCAATGAAGCCTAGATGGACTTGTCCAGGTGCCTAAGGAAGCATTAGATAAGGATAGAGCCGCTCAGTTGTTGTCGGAGGTACAGTCAGCCGCTAAGGAGACTGAATGGGACAAGGTCAAGGCACAGCTTGGTAATAGTGACGGCTCATTAATAAGGTCGCAAGTATTAAATGGTCAGGTACGAATCTGCTGAACCAGGTTATTAAGCATGCTGACTAGATGCAACGGTTGATACCAGCACTACTAGCCTCGTTTTTCTTGAGACATTTGACGGTTTTCTGTTCCTACTTGTCGGCCTTAACGGTGGGAGAACGGCCTCAAGTAGACGGAGAGGAGTAGATGGTGATGATTGTGTTGTTGATCTCCTTTGTACGAATATCGTTCTGTGCTGCGTTGTCACTGGGGTGGTAGATAGCTGCTGCCACTGTAGTTAAGATCATCAGCTTGTTCTTGCATCGTGTATTTCAGGCTTTGGAAGCATCATCTGAAATTATGAAGATTCAAGATTCTCTCAAACTTACAATGTTGATGTGTAGTCTATCCATCTGGTCGGCTCTACGGGATCTCTAGGACGGCAAGGTCGGAAACGATGTTCGAACCGTTTTTCTCATGGCGGCGGTTGCTGTTATTGACAGTTTCGGATATAGGGAGTGCCTTGAGTTGAACGTACTTTAATTTATCGCGGTAGGCTTGGAAGAGTGTAGTTGGGGAGATCTCGTTGCTATCGCCCATCGCTTTATCGGTCTAAGGCTGGTAGTCCCTGTAGGTGAGTAGTAATGTCGTCTGCAATGCTGCAGTACAGGCATGTTATATCTGATGATTCCACTGGAACATTGTGATGAACCACAGAATTGAAGCATTGTGGATTTCTGGGACTAGGCTCACCACGTGACTGCGATGAGGTCTTTTTGTAGACGTCTGGCGTAGATTCATCATGATTCCTATTAAGACCTACTGAATGAGCCTGCTATGCAGTAGTTGTTATTGTTGGCTATCCTGTCTACTAATTCATGGCCAACCACGGTCAATTCCCTCCTGTCCACGGTGGGGGCTCCTCCTCGGCGGCCTATCCTCCACCCCCGCCTGCTGGGGTATCCTATCCTCATCCCGATGAGTAAGTTGTTGCCATCTTGATTAGCATCGTCATCACCATAGCTCCCTCAGGGTCTACCCTCCCTATGTATGGGCCCCTGCCTTCCCAGGGGGATTCGCATTACCGCCAGGACCCAACTACGACGACAATCCAGCTTGGGTGTATGGAACACTTTCTGTAGATGTAAGGCAATAGATGGCGATCAGGCGATTCCGGCAAGCCATGTCTCACCCGATGGCAACACCAGTCGTCCCTGAAGCGGCTCGGAAGAGGACCAATGAGGTGTTGGCCCGACTGAGTGAAGAGCGCAAGCAACTCATGGTAAGTGTATATGAGATGTGCCAAGGCGATTCCATTGCCCAGTCGCGCTTCCCGCCCTTGACCCCGTCCAGTGTGGGTGGTCAGCAATACCAAGGAGGGTTTACAACGCCGCTGCCCCGTGGGGTAGGAGAGTGGGGTCGAGTGTGTTGATGGGCTGTGTTGTAACAGATAGAAGGGCTTGTCTCACCTCGAGGCCATGGGCACCAGGGGCTTGGTCCTACGATGAATGTGATACACGAGGAAAGTCCTCATCAAGAGCAAGCACCTCCTGGGAGTGCACCGACCTTCGGAGTAAGGATAAGATGGAGTCAACGGCCCATCGGTATTCAGGAGGGGCCGCGCTTTGGGACTGCAGAAGCCCGATCACCGGAGGAACGGGCGGTGGCGGCGCGACGTAGGAATACTATGCTGCGGACAAGCCTTCCGAATAGGCGCAGTACAATTGATAATTTCTTGTGAGTTGATGCCTCCTGGTGGTGGTGGTGGTGAATGATCAGTCTGTTGTTAGGAATAGAGACTTTAGGAGGTCCCTGTCGGCGGACACCAGGATAGAGAATGAGCCTCCGGTACCATGCGGTGTGTGTTTAGATGTATTGAGACCAGGATGTTTTACAGGGCGATGCGTATGAGGATAAGGAGAACTATCACAGGAGCAGTAACATGACTGAGGGCCGCCTTCGTAACCATCATCTGGATCAGACTGCAGCTTTCGGGTAGGATGGAAGTATAACAATGAATCGATAATATACTGGTGTTATGGTATTGCCTTGTAAACGGTCGGTGATGGCTCGCAGATCGCATTCTTTCAGATCGTTTGAGCCCGCACAAGTCTCCCCTAGACTTAAGAGGAGGTCTACCACGGGTGGTGTCCCCAACCGTCCGGCCCGGCCGGTATTGTTCAGTAGAGGCACGGGCAACGCCGACATACGGGATGTCCATGCAATGTGTTGTGATGCATGCCCGTGTAAAAACGGGGGTAAGGCTGTGTGCTGCGAGCATTGCTCACTGAAGGATGAGAACCGCCATAAGAAACGGGCTGATCGAGGTGAGTTACTCATCATCCACTTTTGTGATTTCCGAACCGAACGGTTTGATTCTGAGAATACGACTATAGACTGTGACCCGTATGTGAGGAAATGTGAATCGATTCACATGGTAGTCACGATGTAGCCTGATGAACTATAGTTAATTGGGGAAGTTATTTCTTCGCACTGCGTGTCTGAACTTATTTAGGGTGAATGTATGTGATGGTTACTCAGGTGAAGTGAAGGACACAGCCTGCAACACTGACTGGGAGGGCGAGGGGGTCACCAAGGGGGGTCTCTCTAATGCAGTAAAGATGAGGAGAAAGAGGCCTCGGAATAGCTCGTAGGCCTCATCAGCCCCTCCTCAACTGTATGTCTAGTCTCAGGCCATCTGATGAAAATGGACAAGAGGGCCGACGACGTTCATCTGAGGATGTCTGCCACCACATTGGGCCTTGGCGTGGAGAAGTGCCACCGAGGTAGGGAAAGGGGGGGTCTTGCTGATGATGATCGTGGTCAGACCTACTCCGCCAGAGGATGCTGCTGTGCCTGAGCGTATTGCTAGGCCGGAAATGAGGAAGGCAGGATCACGAGTTCGAGGGGAGGTGGGGGCCCGCGCACAGGAGCATCATCATGATGATGATTATCAGCAGCAGCTCCATCATAGTTCCCAGACTAGTTATGAGGTAAGTGATCGAGCCGACGCTCCTGTGTCGGGACTAGTGGGGTAGGGTACTTTCCAATCGCTGTTGGATGAGGCGGAGGCTGCGGTGACGGAGGTTGTGAATCAGCATGAACGCAGACACCACCAGCAACAGTCGCATCGGGCACATAGACGAGCACATCATCGGGGTGGTCATAGAGAAGAACGCAGGAAAAAGGAAACTGTAGGTCTCGGCGAATTGGATTGGGACATGCATGTTCAGGGTGTCCCTCGACAGGGAGGCAGCCTGAGCTCGGCGGATGATCTACAACCCGACCAACCTCAGGGTAAGGGCACCAGCTACGACAGTAGTATTAGTGACCATCTGACCCTAGTAGTAGTAGTAGTAGTAGTAGTAGCTTGACATAGCTACCATGCTCAGAGTATAGAGTTTCGTGCAGTTTCGTGAGACCGACAGTAATCTTTAGGAAGCCACGGTGCCGATAATTAGTTTTAGAGCTACTTGGCCTTGTCGGTAAATATCTCTAATGCACGGTTACAGCGATATAGTTTTGAATCGCCCCATGATCCCTGTGAAAAATTGTCATTCAAAATTGTTAGTGATATGGAGTGATAACCTTTTCGGTCAGCGGTGATAGTAGCCGTAATGTGGTATCATGTTCCTGTTGTTCCGTATAGATATTGGAGGTAGAGAGATAAGGAGGACTGAGCGTCGAAAACATTTAGAAGATAGGAGACAGGCCGAACTGCTACGGACAGGCAGGCGTCCTCTGCTCGGGTCTATTGGGGTGATAGAGAATCTCAGGTCCGGTTGGAGGCCATTCCAATCCAGTTGAGGAGTCTTATGAAGATCCTGATGAGACTGCGAGGTGGGTTGGGAGTAGCTAGAGTTATAATACGTATTTGCTTTCCGCAGCTGAGCTCGGGAGTTTTCATCATTTAGAAGAATTTATGAACGACTTAAGGTAGCCAATTGGAATTTTCCAAAAATTTTCCCACAATGCTTCAATTTTTATAATCGATTGTTATTTTCCAATACTATTAGTCATCGTTTTAATCGTCTACATACTATGATCAAATACATTGCTATACCTGAAACTAACAGCTGATTGTGCTTTAGGCATTTGTCCTTCGATGAAGATCTCTCATTTGATGTGGCAGTTGAGGCTGAGCCTGACTTCATCGTCCCTGTTATGGATGAGGAGGATACTATATCGGACATACCTCTACCACATGATCAACCCCAAAGGGGGGGCCAGCACACATTGGAGGAGATATCGTTTACGAATCAACATCGAAGAGGAGGAAGAGGCAACAAGATGGTGGATACTTCGGTGAGTACTTCCTCTAGTGTGTTGCTCTCCTGTTTCCAAGGAGTGTCTTGGTTTGCTTCTATTTACTGTCTTATCCATAGAGCAGTTGTTTATGTCGCTACTATTTCATGTACAGATTCCGTAAATTGCGAGTGAATCGTCGTTGGTATTGTTGTCGGGCTCAGTTACAAGTTGGACCGGAGCTCTATCCTCCAGTGCCAGCTCCTACCCGGAAGAAGACGACTCAGCGTAGGAGAAATAGAGATCCAGAGAGCAGTGATGGAACTCTTGAGGAAGAATTTGTAGTTGTCGGGTTATAACCCTTGATCGGAAGGTAATCTTGGCAGGAACAACACCGGTACGGCAGAGGGGCTCCGAGATCTACTCGAAGGGCTCCTCTTGATATCCTCAAGGGTGAAAGAATCATCTATAAGCGAACTGATAGTGGCGATGATCTCATGATTGGAGTCCTTACCCGACACAAGCATGATAAAAAACGGAGTAGGAGCAACGGTATCTCGAGGATGACCATATGGTGTTAGATGATCATTCACTTGAGGGCGGCCGCAGCAGACGATCGTCAGCGGTCGAGCGTGCGTCCTTCCACAAGAACAGGGCCAGTCAAGAGAGTTACGATCCCAATCAATGTGAGGTCGGCCTTGGAAGCGATGCTCATTTCATTAGTGTTCAGCAGCAGCCATGCGAGCACCAGTGTCGGAGGGGTCATCCCGAGCTCAGCAGAAAAGGAAGGGTCAAGTTGTGGAGAAGCGAGGGAAGAAAAAGGCAGTATCCCGTACAAGACAACCGCAGCCCAAGGCGAAGTCGAGGGCGGCACGGAAGAAGACTGGGGTGATCAATGCGAAGAAGGGGGCACAAAAGGTCGCGGCGGCTAACGCATCTAAGGGGCAACAGGACACCATTAGGGCCAATAAGAAAAACCGTAAGAGGATAATACGCGTGGAGTTTTTAGGGGATAATTCTAGGTGACTCGAGGAAGGAAGTGACGGGAACGGACGGCGTAGTGGCTCATGCTCATCGTGGTGGTGGGCCGACCTGTGCACAGTATTGCCCAGAGGACAAGTGTTGGAAAAGTGATGGTATGGATAGGGAGATCCCTGCTGGTCATAAGCTAGTTTCATATGCGAAGGACCGCACTATGAAGATTTTCACAAATGTTCGGTGTGTGGTGCCTTTGGACTCGCAACACTTCATGCCAGTGTTGTTCCAGCTGGGGCCCTTACAACAGAAGTTACCCGAAACGGTCTCTGAGGGCAGCTCGGCCATCATAACGATCTTAGAGTGTGGTGAAGGTGGTGATAAAGCTGTCGATGAGTTCCCTGTTTCGGTGAAGTATGAGGATAAGGAGCGCTCACTTGGGGCGGGTGACTTTTTCATTGTTCGTGCTGGGATTACCTACAGTATCCTCAATGAACACCGTACGAAGGACGCCAAGATTCTTATGGTACTACGACAAGACACTGTGGAAGACTCTGGTCTGAACTCTGATGTTGAGGCATGAGGCGGCTCGGTAGTGATGATGTAGATGACGGGTACAGTATTCTTTTTAGCTTACAATCTTACATATTACCCCATCCGCTCGGTTACTTCCACCGTGGCGCTGTTATTCGAATTAGTGTATCGTCGAATGAATGCAGTAGAGAATACTATTAATATAAGGGAGACATGAACGGAATCCACTTATAATGCAGACATACACGACATGAGAGTTGTGTTATTATAATGGAACTAAATCGAGTGAATTGTCCTCTCAGAAGCTTGCTGTAGTTCTACATGTGCCGTCTGTCCCTCCATGACCGGTAGTAAGCGTCTACTTGCGTCTACGATCATAATGGTCTAGAGCAGGCTTTGATAGGTAGTTTGTCAGTATCATTACGGTGACTGGAATTCACTTGCTTCATGTCAATACGGGCAGCTCGATTATACCATGGATCGGCGTTGTGTTGATGGTGAATGTATTAATGTAGGATGATGATATACAGTGACGTTTCACCCGTTTTACGCGAAGTGGCGTTAAACTCGGTGAAAAACGCGATATTCGCGGGATGCAGTAGTCGTGAAATGTATTTTCACTAGTGTTTTTCATATCACGGGTGAGACTCCGGTGAAATTGTATAGCAATGGGAGCTTGGAACTCCGTCCCATCGCCGAGCACGTTATATGAGGAAGGACGGTGGAGGTAGCATACCCACTAATATTCTGAAAGGTCCTGTCTGTACTGCAGGCATCATGGTAGAGTATCTAAGGCAAGAGAGGCTCGAGTAAATGTGATATGCTGTGGTGTCACAAAGAGAATCTGTGAGATCATAACTATGACCAATACTATGGGCCTTCAACACCACAGAAGCGACGCTTTTGACTATGACAGGATAATCCAACCCAACCAGTATGTTCAGATCGACGACGGGAGTATGTACGGATAGTTTTTTATCAGAGGGCAAGACGAGTGTTCAGAGGATCACTGTGGAGAAGTCAGTGATACCATACGTGGCCGCCTCATAGTAGGGTTTGTTGTTTCAGCGTACTCTACCTGTACAAGTCTTCACCTTCATTCACGATATTGTTAGCAGTATGGGTCTCTTGCCTCAGTCTGTCCTGATCTCACTCATATACTGTGAGCGCCTCTTGAGGTGTTGCGGCTTTCGTTTGACTGTACGATCATGGAAAAGTATTATATTAGGATCATTGGTGATAGCATGTAAAATGTGGGATGATGTTCCTGTTCGCAATCACAACTTCGCTGAAGTTCTTCCCATAGAATTCACACCGAAAGTAGTATGCCGTTGTGAGGCTGCAGTGGCGACGAGACTGTGCTTCCACTTCTGGGTGAGTGAGGAAGAATATCACCTCCGGTATAAGCTCATGTTCACACCCTATCGGTTGAGTATTACAACGCAACCACGGTTGAAGAGGAGGAGGAGGTTTTTGATGGACCAATTGAGACCGTCGGGAAGATGACGTCTGCAGCATATTATTATGATGAACTTGGCGGCTCCTTCAGAAATGGAGCTTCACGGGCGAGCTCATCCCTGGGTTGAGTGACGATGATGAGAAGGGGAGTGCATTACAGATACCATAGTTGAGCATTCGAGTTGACGTGGGAGGGGCCATTGGCAGTTCTTGGTCGATGCGACTCGACTTGACGTTCTTCTTCTTACTACTACTACGGCTAGCTGTGGGTAATGTTGTGGAGATAACTTCGGTCAATTTCGACTACCTTCTTAGGGACGCAGATGGTACGTTGGGGTGAGGATAGACTTGGAACGTACCATCTGAGTATCGGCCTCAGATCCCCGACCTTTTTTAATATTCCTGTACTCGCCGACGTGTCCACATTGCAAAGCATTGAAGCCAGTATGGGAGGACGTGTGTACAGTCGCTGAGAAGGAGCAGCTTTTCCGAGTCGGTAACGACCTATATTATCCCCTACTACCCACTAGAGACTTGTTTACAGGAGTATTGGACTGCATGGCTCAATCACATCTATGCGAGCGTTTGGGTGAAACCAAGGTTCCGAGCGTGTAATCGTCCATATGAGGCCCCTTGTGACGTGTCTCCTCATGTAGTTATGTCTTCTTCGATGATGGGCGGAAAATGTTAAAGTATACCGGAGAAAAAGACAGCGAAGAGATGAGCGAGTTTGCAGCTCGAGCGCACAAGGTACTATGATGGAAATTCGAAACCTTGGAAATTCACGAAGCTATGGAAGTTGAAAATTAGTGCTGGCATTTCCCGTCTATACTATCTAACTTCCGTAGGGAGGACATTGTAAACGTTTGATATAGTATACGACCTTCGTATGGAGCCTTTGCCAGTAGCTCCGGGGAGGTCACAGAAGTCGATACCAATTTGGTATGTATTTCCACGGCGACCATCGAGATATTATCACTATTGAGTTCTATTTGGGGATAACGGGGAATTCCCGTACGCCTTTTTTCGGCTACTCGAGTAGCATATCATCGTTAGTATAGCATGTAATACATCTCTACTTTCCCATTCGTCCACTCAATCAACGGACCATCTAATAGTACGCTCAGGTTTACAATGGCGATGCTGTAAATGTCCCCATTGAGGGGCCAGGGAAGCCTTCCTTCTCGCTCAGAGCCGTGGCCAAGGCTGTTGCTGCTGAAATCATTACTTTGATTCACTTCTCTCCAATAGGCTGCTGTGCTTTGATCGTAATAGTATCGGCCGATGACCAGCAAGTGTTGGTTATGTTCGTAATAGGTGGCGGGCTTTGTGCTGGGTGTCCTTTTTGATGCCTTTGTACTGAAAGTTGTTGACGAAGAGGAAACAGTGGATCCTGGAGATAAGGATAATAACAGGAGTGATGAAGAAGAGAGTACTATGAGGATATCTCTTCTGAGACTTATAGAGCACAGAAGGTTGTCTCGGTGGTTGTGCTATCAGGCCCTCCAGTTGAATCGAAGAAGACGCGTTGATGGTTGCCAATGCTAAGGGCTGTTCGCTTGGGTTTCATGTCGTACACTTATTTCGGCTTGCGTGATAACAAGATACTCTAATCGGGCACACAGAGTAGACAAAGTTGCGGTATGCACACAAAAACAGGGACAGCCCTATATATCTCAGCGGTCACGATGACACGATCGGGTCAAATTCCGAGTGATTGTTAGTGGGATTGGGCATGGGACCAATTCCGGCAATATGCATCTCACTCCCCGTGCTATCCTAGAGGGAATCGTCTACAGTTCTTCCCCTGTGTATTTCATCTATATGTCTGATTTCCTCTTTGGGGATCTCACAGCAGGCACAGCCATCCTGGGCATTCTTCTCGGTATGCTTCTGGCAGTGGTGAGTTCCTGTCCTGGTACGGGTGTTGGAATTCCTCTTGTAATATAGGTAGTTCCACGTCTACTAAAGCCGAGTACCACTCCTTCTGGTGAGAAGAAGGACTACATGGACCTTGTGTCGACGGGACAGGTGAATGGAAGTAAACAGTCGATCGAGATCACTGGGGGGGTTTTCAGGTTCTGTTCGATGACAACAGGAAGGAGGGCCAGTGCTGTGTGCATTCTGCACAGATCTTTGAAAAGCAGGTGATAATCTTGGCCTCTTGTTGTGGTCGGACCAGAAGCGCCTTCACCGTCAAGGCGATGAACGTTTCTTGCCGAGTTGTGTTCGTATCATCTGATCGGTCATAGGTTGACTTCAACGCATTTTCCAGACAGTTCGTCAAGATCTACGGCACTAATGGTCGCTTTGGACAGCGCCTGGTGCACAAGGAAGGTACTGTTACTTCGCTAGCATACACTCAGCAGCCTACTTCGTAATATTAGACGAAAGGCCGTATTGGATCAAGCCAGACCCTTCATGGGAACCTGAGGACAACATTTCTTGTGTAACTGATCGTACGGACCACGCCAAGTTTGAAGAGATGATTGCGAAAATGTGCGCAACTCCTCTGCCTTTGACGTGAGTTCGTTGATATCCTCTAATCCTATATATTGCTCTTTCTTCAGACAACCCTTGTGGCAGATGGTGTACTTTCAGAATTATGTCCGAGAGGATAACGGTGAGCTGACGAGTGCGTTCATCTGGAAGTAGTGAAGATTCTCGCCAATGCTCGGCGGTCTAAATTTTTCATTAGATACCATCATTCGATGGCTGATGGCTTCACTGCTATGCGTCATGTAAGTCGGAGTGGCGTATAGGTTGTAATGGGAGTCGTCTTCAGACTTGTTCCCACTGTGTGCCAGCTAAGGAGGGACAGAAAATGGAAGATCTCTTTATCCACCCTAAGGCGGGAAATAAGGTCATAAGGGATAGAAAATTCAACTCGTAGATTTTATCGTTCCTTCTTCTACTGTTTCTCGCTGCGTTCCACATCGTCCCATTTTAGCGTTCACGTCCGTCACTCTTCACTATCGCCAAGAAAGCTGTGTTCGCCTTTTTCAAGCTGATATTCCTCCCAAAGGATCCTGTAAACCCGTGCAAACCGAACTACATGCAGAAACACGGATCCAAGAGGTATTAAATGCGCAATTAGGTCGAGGATCGTTAATAATGATGTTCTTAGGGCAACCGCTTTCACTTATCTCGGGGAAGAATTCTCTGTTGCTAAGATCAAGGAGATCGCCCATTCGGCTACTACTGCTGGAAAAAAGAAGTCAGTGAACGATGTAGTGAGGGCAAAGTCGTAATCACTATCGTCCACTAGGAGTCCTGAGGAGACCTGAGTCCATCATTGAGCTTTCTATTAGGTACTACTAGCTGCCATCTCACGAGCGTTGGGTATGTATTGTGAAGAGAAGAAGGATAAAATGGAGGACGTCAAGGTGTGCTGATGTCTATGCTCACGTATCTCGCTGTGGTATGATACGTTGTTTTCAGATTCCCGACAACTTCGAGTCGGCCATGTGGGTGTCTCTCGACAGGGGCTCACCGTTCAAATTCGAAGAAGGGGAGAGAAGATGGGGGAATAAGGGTCTGGGTGTTTGTTACTTGAGCTTGCCCATTGGAGTCAAGTCCGCTGTTGAACAGCTGAATATTGGTGAAGCACTGTGTCCAATTCCTCCTCGCTGACGTTTCTATCGTTTCAGTATATCATCGAATCAGAGATCTCATCGGATCTCCCGAGCCCCTACTTGCCAACAAGCTCCAAGCGCTAGTTGCTCTATTGCCGTATCCTATTGCCCATTTCCTCTGGCCTATCGTGACAGCTAAAGTAAGTGAAGATATGTCAAAAATATATTTAGGCCGAGTCGTTAATCTCTTTGCGGTTGGTTCAAAGCTTCGCGAGCATTTTCATAATTTTTTTTGTCACTGTATGTAGAAGAAAGTTGGCCACAATTTCGCAGAGTTCGTTTCTGAGACACTCGCTCGCTAATGACTCGAGCACATACCAGATTTCTCGGAAATTTTTAAAACATCCTTTATGTACTTGCATAGGTAACACTATCAATCTCCAATGTTCCTGGTCCACAAGCTCAACTGAGATGGCCCGTCAACAGAGACGAGGATCTCACGGAACAAGTTCGTCTCCGGCTCAAGCTCGCGGTGATGTACTTCTGTCGTTATGGTAGATACCCCGCTCCGGCATTATCAGAGATATGCTCTTCTTCGTGCCCCCCGTTTACGATATTGGTGAGCTATTGGTTCAGCACGTTCGGAGGACAATCGATGATTCTATTATTCTGAATATATGAGCGAAACTCTGGTTTCGTGTTTAGGTATCATGGCCTCTATCATTTCGTACAACAACCGAGTGAATGTTGGTATGACTACTGCCGGCGAATGGATAAATCAAGTAGGCGGTAGATTCTCGAGGATATGCTGATTCCGCTCTCCTCGCAGACCGATGTCCATCACATCATCTACGACCTCTTTCCTCGCGCCATGAGAGATATTCGTGACGGTGTTGCCGCCTCCAAAGATACTGAGTAGCGCTTCAGTGATAGGCGTGACAAGTTTGTGTTCATAATACGAGTCTTGATATTTTATCTCGATATTCGTAATGCTCAAACAGGCGAATTTAGACTCCGAGCTTTTGGGCTGCTGCTCCTACTTACTATACGATTCACGCCGGAGGTAGCTTAGTTCAATACGCTTATGTTACGTTGCTCAATGGGTTGTTGATGATTGACGGGGGATACACGGAGACGCGGAAACATCAGAATATTGGTAACCGTGGTCTAGAGGCAGCGTCTGCTAGACAAGACTATTCACATAAATACGACTCTGGTCGTCACAGTTGCTCGTCTGATGTGGTCATCGATCGACAACTTGTGAGGAATTCGTTATGATGAGGCATTTTTGAGGTGGCATAAATCATGATGGGGCATATCTGTGGGTGGCATAGTTGCCCAATCCGAAGGAATCCGTTATTATGGGTCGTATCTTGGATTGGCATAGCTGCCCCATCTGGAGAAATCCGTTATTATCGACCGTATCTTGGGATGGCATAGTTGCCCCATCTAGAGAAATCCGGTACTATGGGCCATATCTTGGCCTAGCATGGTTGCCCGATCCCGGAAAATTCATTAGATTGAGGCATATTTTCGGCCGCGAAAGGTGTCCTACTTAGAGAAACTCATTAATAATGATGAGTCATTATAGTGAGACATATCTTGGCCTAGCAATGCCAGTCTGGCATAGTCGCCCCATCCGAGGAAACTCATTATAGTGAGGCATATCTTGGCCTAGCAATGCCAGTCTGGCATAGTCGCCCCATCCGAGGAAACTCATCATAGTGAGGCATATCTTGAGCTGGCATAGTTGCCCCACCTGGAGAAATTCATTATATTTAATAAAGCATATCTTGGACGGGCATAGCTGCCCCACCAGAGAACCGCACGAGTGGATGTTCCAGAGGCATACTCCGGGGAGGTAGCCAAGCCGCACCAGGAACGACTCACAGGCGTTATTGCCCTACCAAATTCAGTAGTGCTGGATGACGGAGTGATTACACATAGATGCAAGTGGGAATTACATCAGTAGGACAACTATGGCACTCCCTAGACGGCGACGATCTTCGGTCCACTAAAGGGGATCGGGCCATCATCGCGAGCCTTGGTATTCGCCTTGTCGATTGGCAACCAATTAGCCGTTGTCTTACCATCTCGGAACCTAGAGTACTCCTATCTTACATTTTCATCAAGGTCATGTATATCCTTCTCGCGAGTACACACATAAGCGCGATTCTGATTGTTGTAGTTGCATCATTATCGTGGGGTAATCTCCTATTGCTCTTCAAAGCTTGGTGTGATATAATTAAGGTGGTTGAATGAAGCACTACTATCAACACGATTCGCATCAGGGAAGGTTGGAATAATCAATCGATGACTTCGGTACTGATGATAAGAGTGGAGCACTTAGATACTCGGTAACCAATATATCCTTACAACACTTGACATTCTCAACAAATAAATCCTGGTTATCGAATGTTCGACTCTTGGGAGCAAGAAGCTCATTGAGTCTCCACGTTCGCTTTACTTGCAGCGAGGGAAGTTCTTCCCACCAGCGAAGTAGGCTTTAGCACCGAGCTCTTCCTCGATACGCATGAGCTGGTTGTACTTGCACAACCTCTCGGTACGGCAGGGAGCACCAGTCTTGATCTGGCCAGTTCCGAGGCCGACAACGAGATCGGCAATAAAGGTATCCTCAGTTTCACCCGAACGATGAGAAACCATGACGGTCCAACCGGCATTGACGGCCTTGTTGTTGGCCTCGATAGACTCGGTGACGGAACCGATCTGGTTGACCTTGAGAAGAAGGGCGTTGCAAGCCTTGTCGTCGATACCCTTCTGAATACGCTTGGGGTTGGTGACAAGGAGATCATCACCGACTATCTGAATATTCTTTCCATCCTTAGCGGTGAACTTGGTGAAAGTATCCCAATCATTCTCATCAAAGGGATCCTCAAGGAATACGAAGGGGTATTGGTTGATGAGTGACTCGAGATAAGAGACCATCTCATCACCAGTCTTCTCGGCTTCAGGATGTGGGTTACTGTTCTTGAAGTCAAGATCGTATTTGCCACTCTTCTTGTCAAGGCACTCAGAGGCGGCAAAGTCGCAACCGATACGGCAGGTCTCTTCATGACCAGACTTTTTGATAGCTTCCTCTAAGACCTTAAGGGCCTCATCCATATCCTGGATAGAAGGAGCGAATCCGCCCTCATCACCGACGTTGGTGGCGTCCTGTCCGTACTTGGCCTTGATCACGGACTTGAGCTCGTGATAGACCTCAGCAGCAAATCTGATGGCCTCGTGGATGGACTTGGCACCGCAGGGGACGAGCATGAACTCCTGGCAAGCAAGACGGTTGCCAGCGTGCTTACCGCCGTTGATGACGTTGAAGCAGGGGCAGGGCATGGTGAACTTCTCAGTGTCCTTGCCAGCGAGCTTGGCAATGTACTTGTAAAGGGGCATGCCAGAGGTGGCAGCACCCGCACGGCAGACAGCCATAGAAACTCCTAGGATGGCGTTGGCACCGAGCTTGGCCTTGCACCAGCCCCACTCGTTCTGAGTTCCATCCAACTCCTCAACCATCAACTTATCGATGCCGGTTTGGTCAGTGGGGTCCTTACCAATGATTGCTGGGCCGATAATCTTGTTCACGTTGTCCACAGCTTTCTGAACCCCCTTACCACCATAGCGCTTCTTATCACCATCACGAAGTTCGAGAGCTTCGAACTCACCAGTAGATGCCCCTGAAGGACAAGCTGCTCTGAACATGCCTCTGTCGGTTACAAGATCGACTTCCACAGTAGGATTGCCACGGGAATCGAGAATCTCACGAGCCTTAACAGAGATGATCTTTGACATGTTATGGAGACTCAAGCCTGATTCACAGATACACTGAACTAGTAGAGAACAACTACACTGCAAACCCAATTTAGCTACGTCCATTAATCTGCACGCATACCCATCCTTGAACGCATGTACAAAGACGACTACCCACCACAGATCCATCAATTGACAACTAAATACAGGTGAAGCTGGTGAATTTATTCTGGTAAGAATACTCGCATATTATATACCAATGGGATATACCCAAAAAATAGCATTAGTAACTTACTGGGAGCACTTTCATGCACCACAGAAGCGCTTACTGGCAACGAGGGAAGTTCTTGCCGGCGGCGAAGGCAGCCTTGTCACCGAGCTCCTCCTCAATGCGCATGAGTTGGTTGTACTTGCACAACCTCTCGGTACGGCAGGGAGCACCAGTCTTGATCTGGCCAGTTCCGAGACCGACAACGATATCAGCGATGAAGGTATCCTCAGTCTCACCGGAACGATGAGAAACCATGACGGTCCAGCCGGCATCGACGGCCTTGTTGTTGGCCTCGATGGACTCAGTGACGGAACCGATCTGGTTGACCTTGAGAAGAAGGGCGTTCACGCTCTTCTCCTCGATACCCTTCTGGATACGCTTGGGGTTAGTGACAAGGAGATCATCACCGACGATCTGAATCTCCTTACCGTCCTTGGCAGTGAACTTGGCGAAAGTGGACCAGTCGTTCTCATCGAAGGGATCCTCGATAAAGACGAAAGGATACTTGTTCATGAGGTTCTCCTGGTACTTGATGAACTCATCACCAGTCAACTCGGCCTCGGCATGGGGCTCGGAGTTCTTGAAGTCAAGATCGTACTTGCCGGTCTTGGCATCATAGATCTCAGAGGCGGCGAAATCGCAACCGATACGGCAGGTATCCTCATGACCGGACTTCTTGATGGCCTCGAGAAGGACGGAAAGAGCCTCATCCATATCCTGGATGTTGGGGGCGAATCCACCCTCATCACCAACGTTGGTGGCGTCCTGACCGTACTTGGCCTTGATCACAGACTTGAGCTCGTGATAGACCTCAGAAGCGATCCTGATGGCCTCGTGGATGGACTTGGCACCGCAGGGAACGAGCATGAACTCCTGGCAAGCAAGACGGTTACCAGCGTGCTTACCGCCGTTGATGACGTTGAAGCAGGGGCAGGGCATGGTGAACTTCTCAGTGTCCTTGCCAGCGAGCTTGGCAATGTACTTGTAGAGGGGCATGCCAGAGGCGGCGGCACCGGCACGGCAAACAGCCATGGAGACGGAAAGGATGGCGTTGGCACCGAGCTTGGCCTTGCACCAGCCCCACTGGTTCTGGGTGCCGTCCAACTCCTCAACCATCAACTTATCGATACCAGCCTGGTCGGTGACATCCTTGCCGATCAGAGCGGGGGCGATGATCTTCTCGACGTTGGCGACGGCCTTAAGGACACCCTTACCCTGGAAGCGGGTCTTGTCACCATCACGGAGCTCGACGGCCTCGAACTCACCAGTGGAGGCACCGGAGGGGCAGGCAGCGCGGAACATACCCTTGTTGTTGGTGAAGAGGTCGACCTCGACGGTGGGGTTGCCACGAGAATCGAGGATCTCGCGAGCCTTGATAGCAGTGATAGTGGTAGCCATATTGCAAAGAGGTGGAATGAACTATGAGTTCGTTGGTGAACGTGATCGGCCCAGCTACGGAGGCTTACAGCTTAGACATAGCTTACACAATATGGAAGACACCCGACCGCGCATGGTTCGTAGACCTTCGCTCGGCATCACACAATTTGTCCCCTTCGCTGGTCGCGCTCAGTCTCGGGCTTTTCAGTGCTGTACAGGCTTCATGATACGGCGCACGATAGACTACTGAAATCTGAACCAGTGAACTAATGCATTGATGTTCATGAGCTTAGTGCGGTTGACATGGTGCAGAGTCGAGTTCCTGATGGGTTCGGGTTTACGTGCAGAAAGACTTTCTGCACTTTCTGGGAAAGTTGACTATACTGACAAACTCGAATACAAATGAGTCCACCACACGCTCCAGTATTCACATATCAAATCATGAGATCACAAAGAACCATGGATAGTTGAAAACAAGTGAGCCATAACGAACTACTGTGCAGCCTTACGGAAGTTCTTCCCAGCATAAACAGCTGCCGCGACAAGCTCTTCCTCGATGCGCATGGGCTGGTTATACTTGGCCAGTCTTTCACAACGGCACGAAGCTCCAGTCTTGATCTCGCCAGTACCCAATCTCACAACTTAATTAGTGATGGAAGTGTCCTCGGTCTCGCCTGGGCGGTGGGGAACTAACACTCCCCATCCTTGGGCCGCTGCCATATTGCTGGCCTCAATAGCCTCAGTAACCGAACCGATCTGATCGACTTTCGACAGGAGAGCATTGCATGCCTTCTCGTCAATGGCCTCCTTGACGCGCTTAGGGTTGGTGACAAGCAGATGATCGCCGACTATTTGGACCTGGCCACCACAATCAGCTTCGAACTTGCTGTAGGGCCGACCAACCGTCCTGGTCGGAGGGATCCTCGATTGAAACGAATGGATAAGAGTTAAACCAGTTCTTATAATATTCAATCATCTCCTCAGCACTCTTCTGCCGAGAACTGTCCTTATTTGGGTTCTTGAAATCGAGATCGTATTTGCCGTTCTCGGTAAGGTGAAATTCCGAAGCTGCGACATCAGTTCCCACGTGACATTGTCCTCGTGACCAGCATCTCCGATAGCCGCCATGAGCACATTCAAGGCCTCGTTATTGTCCTGTACAGGCTTGGCCATGCACCGGCCCCACTGGTTCTGGGTACTGTTCAACTACTCGGCCATCAACTCATCCATACCAGCCTGGTCGGTGGCATCCTTGCCGATGAAAGCGGGGGCGATGATGTCCTTGACATTCTTGATGGCTTATCGCCGTCCCTGAGCTCAAGAGCCTCGTAGACGCCAGTAGAGGCCCCACAAGGCACTGCTGCACGGAACATGCCTCTGTCGGTGGTGAGGTGGGCTTCGACTGTCGGGTTTGCCACGACAGTCAATGATCTATCGGGCACGGATGGAGACGATTTTGGAAGCCATTCGAGGATGGAGGGAGTTGAGCTAGTTCAACGATTCCTTGTGGACACTGCATTTACACGGCAATGTGATAGATTGAACACGGCAATGTGATAGATTGAACACGGCAATGTGATAGATTGAACACGGCAATGTGATAGATTGAACACGGCAATGTGATAGATTGAACACGGCAATGTGATAGATTGAACACGGCAATGTGATAGATTGAACATGGCAATGTGATAGATTGAACACGGCAATGTGATAGATTGAACATGGCAATGTGATAGATTGAACACGGCAATGTGATAGATTGAACACGGCAATGTGACAGATTGAACACGGCAATGTGATAGATTGAACACGGCAATGTGATAGATTGAACACGGCAATGTGATCAATCCCTGAATCTACGATTGAATATCATCCAAGCCCTGAATAAGACGTAGATCAATCTGAACCACCTAAATAGTAAGAGCATACTGTGATACGGTCAAAGCAATGCTAGATCGAATCAGCGGATGAAAGTAAACGGGCTAATGGGTGGAGATGAACCTACTCTATTTCACTGCATTAGAGACGCTTCATTTTAGTAGATACATAACGCATCGTTGGCAGGGAATCATCCAGAAACCTATAATGTTACTGGGAAGAACTCGTTTTAAGTCCTTACATGGCTAGGCACACAATCTTCAATCAGTTTCCCGTGTGATTATCATCACACTAGAAACATTTTCCTCGTTGTTACCAAACCCTGGGGCCTATTTCACAAGCGTCCTAACGTTAGGTAAGGAAAATCTTGTGAAATAGCCTTAGTTAGGCAAGGACGTCCTAAGGTTAAAATCCTATACGTAAAGACGTCCTAATCTAAGGACGCTCGTGAAATATGCCCCTGGATGGGTCCCTGATCGTTGGGAAAAGACAAGATTTCAAGAATTGGTCCGGTCGTTGTTGTTGTCGTCGAGGAGCAGCAACAGGAATGCGCGTGTTGGATGCTCTTATGACCATCACTGGCATGACGGGAGATCCATTCCTAGAATTAACGAGGTTCTCGATTTTTAGGTAAAAATATAGATGGGAAAGTTACAGAAGATTCCAGTTACAGAGTATCACGAGCTAACTAGCAGGCCGAGGCTGCCGACGTCCTCCATTTTCCGTCTCTGGTAGTTTAGCGATTCTTATTGCTTAGGAGATGGTTACCTCATCATCTCACACTGCCCCTTCTCCTCCTACCATTACCCTCTCATGGGGAGTATATCTCGTAGGATATGAGCATTGCTACTGTACACTGCTATCCATCCTTATCAGTTGATAACATTGATCATCACTACTGCCATATCGGGTACTATCAATG